GTTCTAACCATACTGAGGACACCAAAAATGGGGGAGAATGGAGGTAGGTTAATGTTCAGAAATTACCTACAGGGAATGATGATCACTATCTGGAGACTATCTGGGGAATTTGGCCACCTGAGACCTAATCCCCACCACCACATAAAATGTCCTTTCGACGACTACACATGAGTACCCCTGAATCTAAAATTTTAAAAAAAGCATTTTTAAAAATGTGCTATATTACTCAAATATCTTCAAGAGGAACTTGGTCGTGTTCTTTTTCGCATTATATAAATCTGTACTTGAAAGAATAACGTCTAAAAATTAGAGTAAATATAATCACTGAAACAAACACTGAGATGGGTCAGATTTCACTCTCTTCCACACGACAATCAATAACAGTCTGTTTCCGTTTGCCAAAAACTGTACTGGCCTTGCACACGTTCACTTGGCTACCTCAGAAAAGAAACTGAACAAACAGCAGCAGCCCTCTCCCAGAATGTCAGTGCTCCCTCCACCTAAGAGCTGAAAAAAGCAAATGCAAAGTTTCCCATTGGTCTTAGAGAACGAAGGCTTCAGACAGAAGCACTCATCACCTATGGATTTAGGTGAAACCTGTACTATAAACCTAGACCTTTTCTACTTCTGATCATTTGTTCAGTCCCGTCCTTTTTTTTTTTTTTTTTTTGAGTTGGAGTCTCACTCCATCACCCAGGCTGGAGGGCAGTGGCACACTCACGGCCACCCCAGCATCGACCTGCTAGGCTCCAGCGATCCTTCTGCCTCAGCCTTCCAAGTAGCCAAAACTATAGTCACACACTACCCACGCCTGGCTAATTCAGTCCAGTGTTATCCACTAACTTCCCTACAGCAACTTATTTACCAATCAGAATGGAGAGACCCATACAGTCCTCTGAGGTTCAGAACCCATGTTCTCCACCTTTACATGCTCAATTATTAAAAGAGCTTTAGTATCCATTAACTATTGATTGATTGATTGAGTTGTGGTCTTACTCTGTTGCCCAGCCTGGAGCATATGATCATGATGACCACGGCTCATGCCAGCTGCAACCTCCTGGGCTCAGGTGATCCTTCCACCTCAGCGACCCTCGTATAGCTGGGACTACAGGTATATACCATCATGTCTGGCTAATTTTTTGATTCCTTTAGAGATGAGGTTTTGCTATGTTGCCCAGGCTAGTCTCAAACTCCCGAGCTCCAGTGATCCTCCCTCCTCAGCCTCCCAAAGTGCTGGGAGTGAGCCACCATGCCCAGCCCAAGTCTTGAATCTTTAATAGGCATGCACCTGTAGTCCCAGCTATTTGGGAGGTTGAGGTGGGAGGATAGATTTAGTCCAAGAGTTTGAGGCTACAGTGAGCCATAACTGTGCCACTGCACTCCAGTCTACACAACAGAGCCAGATCTCAACTCAAAAAAAAAAAAAAAAAGGTTCAAAAATTGCTGTGGAACATCTATAAGTGGATGACAGCTCTAATGGTTTGGTTAGATAAAAACGTACAAAGATAAACATTTTGTTATATAAATCATTCTTTCTCTTGGAATTCATAGTATAGGCAAAAAACAGATTTTTGAAGAACACATGAGACATCCCAGTTTGAAAGCTCAGCAAAGCTGTATCATCATTAACTACCCATTTTCAAGTGTCACGTAGGTGCTCTATGGGAAACACTACATAAAAGTGCGCCCATGGTCTCCACAGATCTTCAGCACAAGTCCAGCCATCCTGCAGTACACAAGGGGATTAGCTCCAGGGCGTCCTCCATTCCAGAACCCACAGTGTACTCGGGTCCTCCAGACAGCCCTGGGGAACCTTCATACAGATAAGTGGCCCTCTGAATACTGGGTTTCACATCCCACAAATACTGTATTTTCTATCCTCTTTTGGTTGAGAAAAAAATCTGAGTATAAGTGGACCTGCCCAGCCCTGTTGGTCAAGGGTCAACTGTATTCAGAAAGAAACAAAATGCATCCTTATATCATCACCATCACCACCAGGCACCGTTCTGAGCCTTTAAATGTATTAAATAGAGATCCCAATCTTTACAAGAATCCTATATAACAAGTACTAATTTAGAGATGACAAAACCGAGGTATGGAAAGGTTCCAGAACCTGCCCAGGCCACCCCGCCACTGCCCATGTCCTTAGTAACCTCCTCCCCTGCCTTGACACAAGGCAGACAGACCAACGGGCAAGGATGGACTTTCAGTTTTTTTTTTTAATCTTTCCAACTCCTTTCCTTCCCTTCCCAATTTATTCATTTTTGTTGCTTTCCTTCTTGGTATCTTCCCACTTTCCCAGAACACAGAAAAACCAAGAGTTTTACCAGGCAGCAGTGACACAATTAAATAGACGTGAATGTAAAGAGCTTAGAATAATGAAAAGCTATAAGCTATAATTCAACAAAATGTAAAAAAATTGGCAACAGTACTTCACACCAACAGCCCATGGATGTGTTTAAATCTTAATAATCCTGTTCTTATGAGTTTGTGGAATATTAAAATTAAACTACTTTTAAGAAATTTCATTTTCTTTACAATCCCACTGATTAAAGTCCTTTATTGAAAATATAAACAAAACAAAATAAAAATTACTGGATAATTTTCCTTTTCTTGATGTACTACTTCCAGTCAAGGCTGGGCTCGGTGGCTCAGCCTGTAATCCCAGCACTTTGGGAGGCTGAGGTGAGTGGATTGCCTGAACCTGTGGGTTCAAGACCAGCCCGGGCAACTTGGTGAGACCGCGTCTCTACAATAAAAATCAAAAAATTAGCCGGGTGTGGTAGCACATGCCTGTAGTTCTGGCTACTTGGAAAGTTGAGGTGGAAGGATCACCAGAGCCCAGCAGGTCAAGCCTGGGTGACCGAGTGAGATTCCAACTAAAAAAAAAAAAATACTTCCAGTCAAGCAAATGTAGGGATAAAGAAAATTTAACTGAAGGACCCTTCTTCTATTCGTTTTAATGCCTAACGCACAGCTTGAAGTCACTCTGCTACCTATAGATAATGATCAAAAACAGTACTCTGTGCTCAGAGGATCTGGGCTGAGAGAGTGAGAGTGGAGAGAAAGGCACAACAGACCTTGTGCGGGGTGGCGGGGACAGTGGGCAGGACACACCACTGCCGTGATCCTGGTTCCTGAGCCCCCTTTTCAGCTCTACTTCAAGGGTTTCAACTTGAGTTTACAGAATGTTTAGTATCCCCGGCCTCTACCCACTAGATGTCAGTTGTAACCTCCTGGCCCCCCTCCCAGTTATGACAACCCAAAATTTGTCTAGCATTGCCAGGCGAACCACTGCTCTGTCCTCCCACACTCATCCTCTCCCTTGCTCTTCGTAATCTGAGCACTCCAGGACTCAACGGCTTTATGGAACTCTGCTTCTAGACTCCTGGGCTCAAAGACTTGCCGATTCCTTCACAAAGGGAAAGGAGCCAAATGCACCTACCCTTTCTTTCTATCTCTTTCTCCTCAAAGAACTTCAGCAAGTGTTCCATGCAAAACAGGCAATCCTCAGCACCAAACCGGTGTGTCTGAGCACCTACAACAGGAATCACACAGAGCCAGGTGATACAGAGTGTAAAAGAAATGGTTCAAGCCGGGCTCGGTGGCTCAGCCTATAATCCTGCGCCTTTGGGAGGCTGAGGTGAGTGGATTGCCTGAGCCCGCGGGTTCGAGACCCGCCTGGGCAGCGAGACCTCATCTCTACAATAAATCAAAAAATCAGCTGGGCGTGGTAGCGCATATCTGTAATTCCGGTTACTCGGAAGGCTGAGGCAGAAGGATCGCCGGAGCCCAGCAGGCGAGGCTGCGGTGGCCGGGAGTGGCCACTGCACTCCAGTCTGGGCGACAGAGTGAGACTCCAACTCAAAAAAAAAAAAAAAAAAAAAGAAAAGAAAAGACATGGTTCATGCCCACAGTGCGCTTACAACATACCATACTGTATTTCCTGACATATTTTTAAAAGTATCAAAATGAAAAAACTCACTCATCAAGTAGGGACTGTGTGTTAGCCAACAGTTCTTCTTATTGCTGAATGTTAACAATACTAGTATTCCCTGCGGTACTTTTTAAAAAACTCTCCACCATAACCCTTCCAAAGGATGAGCCCCGGCACTTTTGTGGTGGTGGCTGTTCATGTGACTCTGACGAGCAGATCAGGGAGAATCACTGTGTTAGGCATTGTGCTAACACAAAGATCATAAAATCACTGTCCCTACCCTCAAGGAACTGGGCTAAAAGTTCATAAGATAACTGTAATAAAAGGTATTAGCAGATGCTCAACTAGACAAGCAGGTTTGATTGTCCCTCAGAGTTACAAGATCCTCAATGCAGGTCCCACACTTAGGCTCCCTTCTCCTAACTGGACCAAACTGGATAAGAAATACACTATGGATATAAGTATAAATGTGAATACAGACACTCAAAACCTTGCCGAAAGAACGAACTCAACTAGAAGTGGGCCGGAGACAAAAGCTCTACCAATTGTATCAGACTTCTTTCCCAATCCCTTGATTTTGAAACACGAACCCAACCGTAAGTGAAACACCTTCACACTTATAATCTCCTCCTACCGATTGCTTCTTCAAGGCAGAAAGAAATCATGTACACATTTCTCTATCCCTCCCAAAGCATAGCCCAGTGCTGGATGCACAATAGGAATGCATGGGATATTTGCTGGATGGGTTACCAACTCAACCAAAAAACAAAAGAAAAAAGCAGGAACCCACAGTGAGGATGTACCCTGATTTTTAAAGGAGGCTTTCCTAGAATACAGATAATCTCAGCCCACACAATTTGACAAAACTCTTCAGTGTTTAAATGCAAATAAATGCTATATATAGTTTTTGTGCCAACATTTAAATGATAAATTAATTTTGTTCACAGCTAACAGAAAAAATATTTAAAACCAATCAAACATTCCCTCAAGCTTGAATAAACTAAATAGAAGTCCTGAGCACACAAACATAAACACAGGGAAAATAAAGAGGTTGTTATTAATTATGCTGGACTGCAAAGCCAGCAATCGGCAAAAAGCAAAACAGGAAGCTGTCACAGATGAAATGGTAAGTTACACACAATCAGCTGTATAATTTCAAAAGCAACAGTCCCCATATCGCCGTCCTCTTTCATGCAAACCTACCATCTTTATAAAATTAAGACCCATTTTCTGGCATTCATCCTCCATCTCTAACTTAGCTTAAACAGCTTGCGTGACAGGTCTGACCAATGCATGCCACTCAGAAAGGACTTAAGGACAGGCAGTGGATACCAGCAGGCCCAAGTGAGAGCCCACAAGTGAAATGTTAAAGCCTTTTTGTGTGTGTGTGTATGCCAACTTTGAAACAGTCGCAGATCATTTAAAAGAAAGGAAATGGTAAGACAGAATATGCAGACAAATTATGATGCTGTTTAGTGGCTAGGTAAGAACCCACTTAATGCTGAGGTAAGACAACATAATTCAGTTAGGTAAGGATCCTACCAATAACCAGCAGACTCAGGCTCATTCTCTTATGGGTAGCATATAAAAAGCCTTTTAAACCTGTGATACTGTAAAATATATATTTGGTCTTCGACCCTGCTTCCTGGCATACAACTCCTAAAATCCCTGGAGACTCCAGAGTGATGTTTTTTTGTATGCTAATGATAGACTGATGCCTGGCAGCCTCTCGATTCAGGACAGAGGCTGGTCACTAGAAAGATCAAGGCAAAATAGAGTTGAGAGTTTCAGCCCCACCCTCCAGCCTCCGGGGAGGGGAGATGGGCTGAAGGTTAAGCCGATCACCAATGGACAATGGCTTAATCAATCATGCCTACTTGATGAAGCCTCCATGAAAACCCAAGAGAACAATGTCCGGAGAGCTTCTGGATAGCTGAATACAGGGAGGTTTCTGGAGGGTGGTGCACTCAGGGAGGGCATGGAATTTCTACCCCTTCCCCCACACCATGCCCTACACATTTCTTCATCTCTAGACTTTTTGACATCCTTTATAATAAATCAGTAAATGTAAGCTTCTCTGAGTTCTATGAGCCATTCTAGCAATTTAATCGAATCCAAAGAGAGAGGGTTGTTGGTCAGCAGAAGTTCCAGAGGCCCAAACTTGTGACTGGTGGGTGGGCAGACTTGTGGGACTGAGCCATCAACTTGTGGAATCTGAGGCTGTCCCCAAGGTAGATAGTATCTGAAATGAATTGACTTAGAGGACATCCAGCTGGTGTACGCTGCTTGCTGTGTGGGGAAAAGCTCCCACACATTTGGTCACACAAGTATTTTGGGTTGATCGCTGCAGTGTGAGAGCAGAGGAAAAACAGTTTGAGTTTTTCCACCAACAGAAAACCCATGACCACTATTATTCTTAAAAGAAAATCTGGAAAATCAAACACTGATGCCTAACTTTAACATTTTTTTTAAACTTTATATGAGGCTTTACTACATGGGGGAACTTTTCTCACTTTATTTTAATACCTCATAAACTCGTCCATGTGAATAATCAAAACCATATTCTAAGACTATCACTGTGCCTCACACACCAATGAGTAAATGCCACTATAAAGTCTAGTACTGCAACTCAGGTAGGAGAGAAAGGAGTCTATTTCAACAAACTCTAGCAAGCACTGGCATCTTTTTTAAAGGTTCATCAGTGACACCAGAGGGCTGAGAAACTGTATAACTGATAGCCTCTGAAGGGCTGGGAACACCTCACATTATTATTATTATTATTATTATTGAGTCAAGGTCTTACTCTGCTGCCCCAAGTTGGAGTGCAGAGGTCCGATCACTGCAGCCTCAACCTCCTGAGTAACTGAGATTACAGGCACATATCACCACACTGACAGCAGTATTTCATCTGTTTGTGAATTGCTTGTTAAAGTACTTTGCCAATTTTTCTACTGGGGTGGTGCTTCCTATTGATATAAAACTTTCTTACAAAGAACAATTACTTGTTGCAAATCTGTTATCTGTCTTTCAGGTTGTGTTTTTGAGTATGTTTGGTCACATAAACGCTGTCAAGTCTATACAAATTTTCCTTTATTGTTTCTGCCTTTGGAGCCACATTTAGAAGGGCTGTATAGCTATTAATAGTACTCCCCCAATGGCATAAATCAATCCCCCATCCTTTTAACACTATGACAAGACTCCATTCCAGAATCTTTCTGTACTAAGTACGTATTGCTTTAATAAAAAAGAAATTAGTCAACAGTAATGAATGCTGTAGGAAAAGCCATAGATGAATTCGATATATATATATTTAAAGCTCTGGGCAACTTAAATAACTTTTAAATCATTAAAGAGATTCTTCTCTTAGTTCAATTTCTATACTTTCCTTGGAAACTTTTATCTTAAAATGTTAGGGAAACATTCTACAAATTCCCAGAATTGATACTTCACGCTTTCATTACCAGGATTCCCACCACTTACCTCTTCTCAGTGCATCTAGTCCATCATAACCTTGTAACTCCCTTATCTAGGTTAGACTTGATATGGCCCTCATTAACATTCTAGACTTTTTAAAAAATGATGATTTTTATAAACAGCTAACATTTTCTGAATGTTCATTATAAGCCAGGTCCTATACTGAATCATGTATGTATTCTGTACCTCACTACTGTAAGACCCGTGTCCTCCCCTTCCATTTTAACACCTCTGAAACCAGTAAGTTTAACAATTAATGGTGTGTCATGTTTAACTGGCAGTGTTTTCCTCACTAATACCTGAAATAATGTCTTACGATCAACAGCATCCCAGATCAGACGGAATATGGAGCACTCCTGAGCCCAACACTGTTCTCCCCATTCCTCAGATGAGGGAGGTACAAAAGTGAATGGCAGCTTTCCCAACGTTATAAAGCAAGTATTGTTGATGCTTGGACTTGAACCCAGGCAATCTGACTCTAGGGCCTCATCTCGGAGCCACGTGTTCTCCTAAGCCCACAGGCCACACAGGGATACCAGAAGGCACCGACTGGTACCTCTCCTGCAGTGCCATCAAACTCCACTCTAGACTTTCCGCCAACTGGTCAGAATCTAAATTCCCCATAGATCGCCTGGCACACTACCTACCTGCTGTGGCTCCTCCAAAACGTCTCCAGCAATCCCAAGCCCCCCTTACAATCTGCTGAGTCCCCACCTCACCATCTGGGTGAAGGGTCTTGCCTCCGACAACACTGGGAAACCAGCACACTGGCAGGAGCTCGACCATGGGCTTTCCTCTTATTGGACGCATTCTTTCTTTCTCAGACAACTCTCCCTCCTTACCACGGTCAATACTTTGTCACCTGTGCTCCAGATCACTAATGGCGCCATCTGTAACTGCTCTGTCCATTGACTTCCTTTTCTCAACCTTCGAATATGAAGAAGTCTCATCTATTTTGAATAACAAATCACTTGAGGGAGTGTAAGCATCTATTTTTCACTTCTTAACACACACTGCGTCTTCTCCAAAACTGGATCACCTGATTATCCAACTTTTTCTTCTTCACCCTGAACCGTACATTTCCCCCTTTGAACCTGCCTCCGGAATCTCTCTTCAAGGGCTTCCTGCTGTCACCACTCCGACCCCACACCTTTCTTCCAGTCTCTTCTTTTGTCTACTTAAAGTCAGCCTCTTCCTCTTCCTAATTCCTAACTGTGGGTTCCAATGCAAGGCCCAGCCCACCAGCTCTCCTCCCCTTCGGGGGTTCCCTCACCCACTAGATGGCTGCCAAGAGTCTACAAAGCCTCAAATTCAACATGTCAGTTCTGACTTATCATCTGCATTATCCTTTGTCCTTCTGCAACCAGTTCTTGCCTATTCTGAAGTAATGGCTTTATTAATTTCCCAGCCACTGAGGATGGACACTTAAGGATAACCTTTTACATCTTTCTCATGACTCTACAGCCATACAATCACCAAGTCTTCGTGGGTTTTTTGGTCCAGAAAAACTCTTCCGTGTCTGTCTTCACCAGAGGTTTGTCATTACCTAGATAACTCAGAGCTCTCTTATTCACCTTCTGGCATAGGCTCTGCCCCTCCAATCCAAATTGCATGTCCAAGCGCCCTTGGTGACTTCCCGCTGCTTCCTCACTCAGGCCCTGCAGCCCCCTGCATTCTCAACAGACTTCACTCTTCTGCACGCCGCCTCCACCCTGTATGCTGGACTCCCTCAGGTACACCCACTGAGGCCAGGCAATGGCTCACTAGCACCTTGAGCTGCGCTGTTGAATGATAGTCACGTGTGGCTGCTGAAACAAACCAATTAAAACAAAAAAATGTATTTCTTCAGTCGCACTGGCCATACTTTTTTTTTTTTTTTTTAAAGCCAAAGTTTCACTCTGTTACCCAGACTGCAGTGCCGTGGTACATCATGGCTCACCACAGCCTTGACCTCCTTGACTCAGGCGATCCTTCTGCCTCACCCTCCCAAGTGACTGGGACTATGGGCATGTGCCACCACACCTGGCTAATTTTTTTCGTAGAGACAAGGTCTTGCTCTGTGGCCCAGGCTGGTCTCAAACTTCTGGGCTCAAGCAATCCTCTTGCCTCGGCCTCCCAAAGTGCTAGGATTGCGGGTGTGAGCCACTGTGTCTGGTCCACCAGCCACATTTTAAGTGCTCGACAGCAACCTGTGGACATGGCTATTGAGCCCGTGCAGACTAGGAATATCACTGCTGAAACCCGAAGGACCAGCACTGCTCGCAACACTCGTGCTAACCTCCCAGGTTTTCCACCCCCTACTCTGCCTGCAGTGCCTCTCTCCCTTCCACCTGTGCAGACCCACACCGCAGGGATCCTCATGCCAGCTGTCTGCATAGGGTGCCCCTAGGTTAACTTGTAACAACTCTTACAAGGTTGTTGCATTTAATTTTTCATTTCTGTGTCTTCTCATTAACTCATGAGCCTTTTGGAACTAATAAATATTCATAGAATAAATGAAGCATATACTTACAAGAATACTGCACCAAAAGTATCAAATAAGGGGCTATTTAATATCCCTCTTCCTAAAAAGATCTGCTTCCTTTCAAACTAAACAAACAAAAGATCTCGCATTTAGCTAACTGAATGACTGAATTTAATGCCTAATTATAATAGTTGAAAGATAATTAGTCCCTTTTTTTGGTGTGGTGTTTGAAGCTGAAGGGAAAAAAAGCTATAAAGGTCTGACATACCTCTACTTTGCATAAGCACACCACAAAGAAACCACAAAAAATAGAAAACAAGAAGAAAACAGATGAACAGTTTGAGTAACCTAACAAATCTCAGATTGTAGGGGAAAATATCCATAATTCAGCAACCCTAAATAAATAAAACATTTTAAAAATGTATAAAGATATATTCTGAATGAGTAGACAGGTCCCTATGACCCCTTCTTCCCAAACAGGCCATAATGAATATTCATTTACACCCTGGGCTCAAAAGTATATTGATATATAGTTAACAATCATAAAAAAAAAAAAGTCTCATGTTCTTTAAATTTAGGCCTGTTGTCTCGAAAAAACTGGTTAAGAAATCAATTCACCATACCACAGACCTGGGTGGGTTCTTATAAAATAATAAAGCTTCTTTTTCAAACACTAGGAACAAAGGAGAGATTTGGGAGAATCACCAGGTAAGGACTTCCTCAAACCTTAGAGGATTTAATGCTTGATTTTCAAGAGGGAGTTTTCTCTGTAGTTCTGATTTGACCTTACAACAAAAATTACAAAGATGCTAAACTGTTCAAATACTGCAGTTCCCAGTAACTTCCTAAAACGGATGCAGTCACTAGAGTAGAACTGTTTGTCTGAAAGATAGCTTTCCTTATGCAAATGAATGTTCTAGAAAACCTGCTCATTTCTGTAAGTCAGCCAATAAGAGCTGTAAATGTAGCTTTTCTGCATAGGGGATTAACTGTATAACTCTAAAACTGACACCATTTTAATAATGCACACCAAAATGAATGTTTTAATTTAGCTTTTAAGTAATTACATTCGTGCTATTTAGCTTTGCCCCCCCTCCCCTTTTTTTTTTTTGAAGGAAGCTAGAGCAGAGTGTTAAAAACACTTCAGGTATTTTTGCTGCAAATCAACTGATGGATCGACATATCAGACTGAATATTTGTACTACCAGATGATAGCTGAAAAGGAATATAGTCAAGAGATTCAGTTTGGGCAAAGAGATACCCTATTTGTTATCAAAGCATGCCCTGAAATCGTGGTACCAAAAAGTACAGAGAAGTGCCAGAACGTCTCATCAACTTCAAAGTTGAGATCGTGTTATGACTTAATACCTCTTTTCTTCACCTTTTTCTCTTTAGACCTGCCCAACCCTCTCCTTAATAACCCCAGCTCCTCCCCTAAAGACACTAAACCTTAGCTTTTGGTTAAGAATGTGAATGTTTTTTAGAGCCAAAAGAGGAGACTGGTGTATTTTGCTATATGTCAGACTTCCTGATTTAATTTGAACTTTACACAATCTTGGATCCCCCACTTCCTAAAAAGGTCCTGTTGATTAAATTAGACATAGGGCTCTTCTTCTTCTCCATCTCCAGAATGAAAAAAAGAATCAATTTTAATCTGTAGAAAACAAACATCTCTCTACGGCTGTCAGATTTGATTCCTACTTAGCCCAAACAGTGTTAGGTATAAAAAATCAATATCATGCCAAAAAATTCTTCTTTCCTCCTCTCCTCAAATTACATTGGATATGCTCAGACTAGCAGGAACGCAGTGAGTGTGATGGGAAAAAAAACCAACAAGTGGGCACTTAACACTAAGAGAGATCCAGGTCCTGGCTTATTCCTCCCCCACCCAGTCACCAGTTGGGTGACTGGACCAGCTGGTTATCTCCTCTGGACCTCAGATTGTGCACCTTGATACGTACCAACCAGATTAGAAAATCTTTAAAGCAGCTGTCAATGCTAAATATCTCTATTCTCCTGAAAGTAAATTACAGATCTTAATGTTTATGAAAGCACTTGGCAGAACAGTCCCATGGATGTGCTTCACCTGGAAAGATCATGCAATCTGGGTACTTAGGTGTTACACACAAACTCAACAGGGCATATAAACATTTTTGGTTATGAGGATGGGAATAAGCAGAAGATACAAGACTCATAGTTCAACAGATTCCTAAACAGCCCTGAGCAAAAAAATGGGAAAAAGTTAAGAAGAATGGAATTGTAAAATATTATACGAAAGTAGACATTAAGTGGTTTAAAAAAAAATTCCCCAGACATTTCCAATGAACTATTCTTATCTCAAGGTCAACTCAGGGAAGACAAGACTAATTTTCACAAGACAGATAAACTGAACTCCTATAACATCCCTCATAAGTAACATCAGCATGTGATTATACAGGAAAATGCAAGAGGAAAGTGGTGGGAATTATGCAGAAAAGTAGAGATAAAACTAACTAACTGGGCTTTTGAATGCATTACTTTTATGTCAGACTTGTTCTTCAAATTATGTGCTGCTTAGGTATGCCTTGACATTATCTTTTCCTTTCTTAAACACTTACAAAAGGACAACAGAGGAAGAAGATTATCCAGAAAAGCATAGCAGGAGGTACATTTATCTAATGGCACCCCAAGTAAAAGCAAATATGTCTATACTGGCATAGTAAAGCACAGCAGAGCAATGACTATTAGAGTATTCTAGATGAAAGACCAAAAAAAGAGAGTTAAGAACAAAGTTGCCTGGTTCATATCCCAGTTAAGATTATAAAACCTAACCACTCACTAGTTACATAGCCTGAGGCAAAACACTGGATCGCTCTGGCCTCAGTTTCTCAACCTGTAAAATGGGATAACAAGCCAGGCTCGGTGGCTCAGCCTGTAATCCCACTTTGGGAGGCTGAGGTGAGTGGATTCCCTGAGCCCGCGCGTTCGAGACGCACACGGGCAACTTGGCGAGACCTCATCTCTACAATAAATCAAAAATTAGCTGGGCTACGCATGCCTGTAGTTCCAGCTACTTGGAAGGCTGAGGCGGAAGGATAGCTGGAGCCCAGCAGGTTGAGTCTGCGGTGGCTGGGAACGGCCACTGCACTCCAGTCTGGGCGACAATGTGAGACTCCAACTCAAAAAAAAAAAAAAAAAAAAGGGCTAACAACAGTACTTAGGGATATTCTGAGGCTTAAATGAGATATGAGTATTATAAACAATGCCTGGCACAAACATTCAGAAAAAATTAGCTGTACTTATTCCTTTTGCTCGATGCTCTAAATCAAATTAGGATCCATGACACTAACGATACATCAGATATACAGAAAAGTCAATCTCCTTTTATCCAGGAGCTTCAACTGTCACTTCCACGCTGTTTTTTAAATTTTAAACAGCCAGTTATTAGGAAAATCAGATGATAAGTGTCTTTTTCTCTTTCACCCCACAAACTCATTAGCAGAGGAAACAAGGGAAAAGAGAGGTCAAGTTCCGGGAGCAGCATGTCTAGAAGGATCTTCTGTGAGGAGGGAGCGTGCGTAGGTCCACACTGTCCAACATGGCAGCCACTAGCCATAGGAGGGAGCGAGCCTATGTCCACAATGTTCCACATGGCAGCCACTAGCCACAGTAGGAGGGAGTGAGCCTATGTCCACACTGTCCAACATGGCAGCCACTAGCCTATGAGGCTCCTGAGCACCTGCGATGTGGCTAGTGCTGGAAAAAGGAAGGTTCATTCCTATTGAGTTTAAATTTAAATAGCCACATGACTATGGCTACCTCAATGGACAGCAAAGCCCTAGATGAGCCACACACTGAACAAGGATAGTCAGAAATAAGCAGAAAATACGGGTCTTCTTTTCCTGAATTGTTCACACGTTCAATTCAAATATCTTTGTTTTTAGTGGAGGCCTGGCAACCATGACTAGTTAAAGAAATAACATGTCAGCTGATACATCAATACAGTGCAAACTCAGTGGTAATAAAAGGATCAGAGATAAGAAGTATGTGCTCTTCTGATATTTTAGAAGGTCCCTAAGGCCAAGTTAAATTCAGGCTCGCATGAAGCACGGTTCAGTACACGGATCAGAGCTGCAAAGGTTCTTACCATTACCCCAAAGCATCTGTCTCTCCAATGCCAAATGAAAAGCGACTTATACAATACAGATTGAATATCTCTGCATTTATCTTCAGTTTTTTCCCCCCAGAAATCCAGTTCTGTGAGCCTCTCCTTTTTTCAGAAACAACAGTTCCCAGCCATTCCAGCCTTTCCACTATAAACAAAATCCATGCACCACCCATATCTGAAGTCTAACGCCAGACTCTTGCTTAGCTGCCCCTGTAATATGGTTTAATTATGATGACTGAACTAATAGGCTGACATCATAGACTTTTACAGGCTGACCCCATGTCATCCTGATGTATCATTTTGCACCAGTTCAGTGCTGTAAATCAATTTAAGATCTCAAGCAGGTTGAAAAGGCTGGTAATGATGCTTTCTCGGCCGTCTCTGGAGACTCTACATTATACACAACTTACATTATTTATAAAGCCTCAATGATGCCTCCATTAGCCTTGTAAGACTACACAAATGAGATTTTTTATACACACACACTTGGCCTTGATAATGTAGGCTACTGCAACTTAAACATGCTTGTCTAATTACACACAAGTTACTTATTTTTCCAATCTATTGAGTTATTAGATTTTAATTTAACCCAGAATTGCTAGAAACCAAAATTACAAACTGAAACTTAGTTTTCAATTAGTAAATGTAATAAATGTAGTTGGGAAAACGAGACTTACTTCCTCTCAATGCTTTAATGAACTCAGTAGAAACACAATTACTTAAATTCCAAGAAGTGCAAGAGGTCAACATTTGTAATTCCCTAAAAACTGTCACTTCTCTAAAACACAAAGGTCATCAGCTCTTCAAGGATATAAAACCAAAGGATACTGCAATAGGAAAAACGTATTTAGTTACCTACCTATGGTCGTACCCTACAAACTAAATCAAGGACAAATCCCTACCCTCAGAAGAAACCTGATCCTGCCTAGATCCACTGCAGGCTCTGGCATCACCCACCTCCAGAAAAGCATCTCTCAGGACCCCAGTTACAGTTTCCCAAGAATTGCAGCATTACACAAACGGTGCACCACCTGCACAGAAATATCAAATAACTGCGAATGGGAGAGAGGGCGAGGGGAGGACAAACACTTTAATCAGAACAGCACATTTAGGCCTGGCACCTACATCAAACTAACAGGGATGCAAAACTATTTACGCCGATTAAAAATGCTGGGGCAGTGAACATTGGGTCTGCCTCCATTCCTTCTGAACCGAGGCTCGCCCACCTCCAGTACAATTTCAAGCGGCCATTCTAAACACGATGAAAAGCCACCACCGGCAGGGAACAGTCTTCCCATTGTGTTACTGAGGTGTGAGCGCGTTATCCACGACAGGCAATTAGCGCGAGAGATGTTCTGGAATAAAGGCATTCTGTGGTTTAGCCACGGAGGGTTTGAGCAACAGGAAGACATCACAGAAACCACGCAACTTCGGTGTCACGCCACACACTCTGAAACTTCAGACCTAATGGAAAGGAGGGAACGCTCGGGTTGGGGAGGGGGCGCGGGAGAAGGCCGGTTGTCACAGCACTCACGAAAAGGATGCTTTCTCGGGAGACGGTTCCCAGACGGGCCTCGCTTTCCAGAAGGAGAGCGCCTTCCTGGCTATCGCGTCCAGTGCCTTTCAAGATCGCATGCGCCTCCACATAAACAAAAGCCGCAGCTACTGTGGTTGTGAGATCTGGCAGGCGTCGGTTCCTCCTCCCTCCCTCAGGCACATCAAGGAAACCTTCTTCTCCCTTGAAGCTTCATATGCCTCCAGCGACGAGAAAAACAAGCCCACGTCTGTCTCCCTCACGCCCACCGCCCCCACCTTCCCACAGAAACAGCCCCGAGAAACACTAACAAAGACAGGGAGCGGAGTCGAGGCACAGTTGTTCGCGGCGAACTCACGAAATACACAGGCAGTGAGGCAATCGAATCCGGCAAAGGGAAAGGAATGAGACGACACTGGGAGAAGCGGGGGGTGTAGGCGGAAGAGGGGGAATTACGCGCCGCCGCCAAACCTTTTAATACGTTCGAGGGAATTTCGGTGCGAACTTTCCTTGACCTCGACCCCAAAGCGCCTCGAGGAGGCAGAGGAGGGAGGCCGCGCGGGATGCGGAGGAGCCCCGGGTGTGTCCCCCGCCCCGGCCGGCCAGACCCGCTCCGCCGGGC